TTAAATAATAAAATCTCAAATTTTCACCTCACAATTTTTCACATATCAATTTATTTTCCCAATTTCTTAGAGATTTCACTCTCCCTTTCCCTCTTTATCGGAAAAAAAAAGCAGGAATTCCCACCGAAAAAAAAAAAAAAAAAATCCCGTCTGTAGACTGAAAGAAGATAGATTCAACGGTTGTGGATAGCTTTGGGATTGTCAGGGAGATGTCAGCTGTTCGGTTCTGGGCTTCAGGTTAGAGGCGGCGTCGGCGGCTTGATGTCACCCGCCTGCGCGCCGAACCACCAGCTAAATGCGGTGGCGGCTCTGGGTCGGAAGGTTTGGGCGTCACGAGGATTCGCCGTCAAGCAGCGGGGTTTGACTTCGAGAGCAGGTTCATCTCCGGTGAAAGGGTATGTGGCCAGAGCGTTATCGGGAGACGAGAGAGTGCATCTGGAGCTGGCGTTCGGGTTCGGGTCAGGACGGACCTCAAAGCTGCGGGTCGTGTTGAAGAATGGGCTGTCTAGGTGTCTGAGAAGCCGCTCGGGCTCTACGATTCATCGTTTTAAAGGATTCGTGCGGGTTTGGGTCGTGGTGGAGCTTTTCGATGAAAGCAGTCGTAAAACGGTACTTTCCTGTGAATTTTGTGCTTGTGTATGTGTATGTTTCGGTTGATGATGCTTAAAGTTTTGATTTTTAGGTGATGGTGGCTATTGAAATGTTGGTTCGAATGACGCACAAAGGTATACATGTGGCTGCGAGACGAATACTAGAGATGGAGCTAAAATTTTTGTTGGGCTTCCACATGATTATTACAGAGAGGTTGATTTTTTTGAACTTATATACTTTAAATTCTGTAAATATTTAATATTCGTGAAAGATATGTGTATTCTTTCTTCTCAGTTAATAGTTTTGGTTGTTTGTTTGATCACGATGGAGCTAGTTTTTAACATCTTACCTTTAAATGAAGATCTTGTAAAAAAAAAGGTGAAACTAATTTAACTAGATAATTAAACGGCTTTAGTTTTTATTTCCGTTTCTTTCGACTGAGTATGTTTTCTTTTTTGTTCATTTAAATGAATTTGGGATTACGTATTATGAAATCTGGAGTTGATGGTTTCTGGATTGTGTTTTCAGGCTACCAAAGATGCTGGCCAGTTTTGAGCTTCGGCACGACGGCACATGGAGAATATACAATTAGCATGTTTTTCCTGCCTACTTACAGTCGCTGAGAACAAAGTTGTGCTTACAAAGGTGATTTAATTCTTTGGGTACTTCAAGACATTTTCTAGTTGATTTGTGATCAACAATGAATTTGTATAATGAATATTGGCCTCATAACACTGTAGGTCGCTGAGTCACTCGGCCAGCGAAGTCGGAGTTGTCGACATTCCTCCTGTGGACATGTCGAGGAAAGGAAGACTTAACCCTGCCCATGATGCTTCTTGTGGACTTTGAAAACCATGTTGTGGTTGATGATGATGCCCTCAAGAAACAGTGCCCACTTTGCTCGAGGGCTGATAGGATTTGGTATAGCAAGGGTAAATTTGTCATTTCTATACAAAAATGGTCATATTTTATCATTTTTTACAATATGGCCATATTTCATTTTTGCTTAAAAAACCTGGCCACTGACTTTCAAGTCCTCTTACACGCACGTTTATCATGATATTTAATAATTTTTGAAGCATAACCCAAACAACACGCATTAGCTGGCCACGAGGTCAAATTATTGCATCCCAATTATTCCTCCAAACCACTCCTACTTCCAAGCTCCACGCGCCTGGGAACAACGACGAGAGGCTGCTTCTTCCCGACCGTAAACCCAGGCATCTCGGTCGCATCCAGGTCCTCCCCCCGGGCCCCACCCGGTAGCTCAAAGTCAAAGTTCTTCACGAGGTTCGCCACTGTGTGCTGCAAGGTGGCTGCCGCGAACCCTATTCCAGGGCAGATCCTCCGGCCGGCCCCGAACGGAAGCAGCTGGAAGTCGAACCCCCTGTAGTCGACTGACGAGTCCATGAACCTCTCGGGCACGAACCTCTCTGGATCCTTCCAGAAGGCCAGGTCCTGCCCGATGGCCCACACGTTCATCACGACAATCGTCTCGGGCTCGACATCGTACCCCATGAAGTTCACGTGCTCTCGGGCCTCGTGCATGTAGATGGGCACCGGTGGGTGGATCCGCAGAGTCTCCTTGATCACGGCCTTGAGGTACGGCATTCGCTGGATGTCGTCCTCAGTTATGACCGTTTTGCCCTCGGTCTCCCCTCGGACTTCATCTTGCAGTTTCTTCATGATGTGTGGGTGCCGAATCAGCTCGGTCATCATCCACATTAGAGCCTTTGCTGATGTTTCGGTTCCCGCCCCTAGAACATCCTGCATGCATGCGTTCAGATACCGATCGACTATGTGTATATATATACACATAAAAAAGAAAAAAGAAAAGGAAACAAAAAACCAAACCCCACACATAAATAAACAGGTATATTTTTCTTTTCCCTCACATAAATCATGGCTTTGACGGTAATGCGGTCGATCGACACGCCCGGAACGTCTCCTCTATATATCCCGAGCAGTATATCCATAAAGTTGTCCTTATCCACGCCTTCTTTCCGGGCCAAGTGATCCTCGAGCACCGTCTCTAAGATATCGTCGATATCCCGCACGCACCTGTCGATGGCCGCGTCGAACCCGGTAAGCCAGTTGATCCACGCCAGCCACGGCACAAAATCCCCCACCGTCAACTTGGAGAACAAGGCCACAACCTGGTCTATGACTTCAAGCACCCTCTCCACGTGCACCGTCTTCTTCCCGAACGCCGTCCGGCAGATGAGGTTGTTGGTAAACGTGGCGAACTCAGCCGTCAGGTTGGCGGGCCGAGCCTGGTCGCTCCGGTGGCCCAGCCTTTCCATCAGCAGCGACACCTCGGACTCGCGGACGGAGTCGAACGACCGGACGCGCGCGGGCCCCAGCAGCTCGTGCACGAAGATGGCCCTCAGCGCGCGCCACTTGTCGCCGTACGGTAGGTTGATGAGGTCCTTGAG